TTTGACCACATAAATAATAATTTAACGTTTTCCTTAAAAAAAAACTGTAAGAATAAAAATTATATGACAGTCACGCTTATGCTAAAAAATAAAACATGCAATATTCAAATCGCAGCGAGACGGAACATACTCGCTACGATCTTTCGAGACTGAGGATAATCGCATTGCTATTTCCTAATTAAGTTAATAAATACCAGCGTATTATTTTGTTTCCATGTAATGGAAAAATTCTCCTTAAATATTAATAATATTAAACTGTCAGCAGAGGCATGAAATTAAAAATGGTTACAATAAGAAGTATAAATAACGTTGGCAGTGATTCGATCACAAGCGTGCGATTAGCTCAGCGTAAATGTATTAGGTTATCGTTCTAGGAATCATAGGTTTAAATCTTCCCGTTGCGATGCGTTTGTCAATAATTTAATTGTAGTTAATAAGACAGAATATACAATAGATATTTACAAAATAAATAGAAAATAATTCAAAGAACTGGAAAGAATACGGACAGTAGAAATCAAGCGCAGAAGACGTCACGCAATATATCTATGAAGTGTGAAACTTCTTTATTCACTAAAACGCGCTTACATATTTTGGCTCACTTTTGAGCCTTTCTCTGAGACAACAAAAATTAACATACATAAACTATGAATAAAAATTATCCTATCATGGTGAGCACCCCTACCTCCAGAATTTAAACTCCAAAAAGAGTGAAATAAAACTAAAAAAGAAAAAAGAAAGATGAACGAAAAAAGGAAATAATGGAAATATTGAAATAGAAAATATGAAAAACTAATTTATCAAAAACCTTAAGATTATAATTAATCATCTCGAAAATAAGGACGCTCACCCTGATCACAAATCACAAACTGTATCGCAAACATTATTATAAATTATTCAAAAACCAGTTCTCGATATTTTAGCCAGTCAGTATCAGACACAGTGAATCACTTTCAGTTTCAGCTAATATTATTAAAGCTTACAAATGGAAAATTTCGCATTGGAACGTTAATTAATTCCATAAAAATGAAAGTTGAAAAGTAATAAAAAATCACGCCAGAAAGACTCCAACTTTCATTTTTATGGAATTAATTAACGTTCCAATGCGAAATTTTCCATTTGTAAGCTTTAATAATATTAGCTGAAACTGAAAGTGATTCACTGTGTCTGATACTGACTGGCTAAAATATCGAGAACTGGTTTTTGAATAATTTATAATAATGTTTGCAATACAGTTTGTGATTTGTGATCAGGGTGAGCGTCCTTATTTTCGAGATGATTAATTATAATCTTAAGGTTTTTGATAAATTAGTTTTTCATATTTTCTATTTTGATATTTCCATTATTTCCTTTTTTCGTTCATCTTTCTTTTTTCGTTTTATTTCGTTCTTTTTGGCGTTTAAATTCTCAAGGTAGGAGTGCTCATCATAGAATAATTTTTATTCACAGTTTATGCATGTTAATTTTTATTGTCTCTGAGGAGGGCTCAAAAGTGAGCCGAAACATGTAAGCGCGTGAATAAAGAAGTTTCACACTTCATAGATATATTATTTGCGCGACGTCTTCTGCGCTTGACTCCTACTGCCCGTATCCTTTCCAGTCCTTTGAATTATAAGGAGTCTTAGTTAGTTTGATTTGTAATACGGATAGAAAATAATAAATTAAATTGGAAAAATCAAAAGTAATAATAACAAAAAAATTTTTTTTGTTAAGATATATATAACTCTGTAATCTTTTTGTTACATAAAAGAGATTGTTTGGTCATAATTATCAATTATTTCGTTTAAAACTATTAATAATATATTTATCATATGATTTCGTAATAATCTAATTTTGCTACCAATTTCCATATCTTGGTAGTAATAGATGTATGATTCTACGTACTTTAACCATTTTTTTCTCTCAGTGTGTAGAGACGTACTGGAGATATAGTGAAGACATACTCATACATCTCAGAATAACTACGGTATATCACTAGAAGCTCCCTGCGAAAGTATTCTACAGGATGAGAAATCACGGACATAGTAGATTCTGAAGAAATACTCTGTACCTCACAGACGCGTTTCGAATATTTTGACGACGTATTCAACATACGTTTACAATTCGTTCTAATGTTGTTAGAACATGGCTGTCTGGGATGAGATACAAAGATTTTTTTATATAAAGAAATATAACAAGAAATTAAGGAAAAAATAATGATAAGCTTTTTATAAGCTTTTTAATTTTATTATGTTATATAAAAGTAAGATATTTTTACATAATAAAACAAGGTTTAAAGACTATCCTCAATAAAATTTGACAACGCACTGTAAAAAATTTTATGCATGAATATGTATAAATATATATAAACATACATAAATATTCATAAACATGTATAATTATATATGAAATATATCCATATATCCTTCTTATATATGTTCATATATTTCTTTTTCTTCTATAAAATTACTTTTTAGTAATAGAGAACTAATAATAGTAATGTAAAAACATAAAAAATAATTAAAAAGATAATTTTCTTGTTGTTCGTTAAAACAAATAAATATCGAAAAATGTTAAACAGTTACTCATACACAATTATGCATAATTTTATATATTATTATTGTATAATAATATATAAATAATTTTTTTACATTTCTTCAAACTTGATTTTTTCTAAAACAGAGTATACATAAAACTAGTATAAAAATTATCCTTTTAATTATTTTTAATTAT